TAAATGTACATATTTTATTGTAGGTTTGCTGGTAGGTTTGATTGTGGCTCCATATACGAAATGGAGTGTAAATTGCTTAATAAGAAGAGAGAACTGGTAACTGACTTTATGTTTCGTGAGATGGTCCCACAATGGGAGGGAGGAATGTGGCATCAGGTGAGTACTGTTTCAAATGTTTCGGCAGCTTTACTTCTTTCCCAAATATGTTATGTTGGTAAAACTTACCCTGCACTCTGAGCTGCGTTACAAAAGAGAAACAGCCATGTAGAGCAACATATACAGTCTTACTTAACTTCTGAATCAACTGTCATATTTTAATGCAACATACATATTTATCCTTATTATAATCTCATTTCATAGAAAAATGTGTACCAATTCTTGTGTATAAAATATGTCACAATCATCTGCTGACCAAGTACTTTCACTTGTTGTATATTAACTTCATGAGTTGCTGTTACATTCTTTCCATTCACTAGTCCTATCCAAGTAACAGACAACACTTACAAGGTCATTAAGTTTTTCATACTTCAAGCAGTGCACACTTCCACATGTTTCATTCTCTCATTTATTTTCTTCACTGAGAATAACTCAAACACAGCACCAACTGATCATTGGATTTACCCCTGGCTTACATCAGGACATTGTTCTTTGTAGGTACACATTCTTCCCGACCAACACGTTACACTTCCCTTTCCCCATTTCACACAGCTGCAACTGACTGTGATATATACACCTGTACCTGTGTGTGCTTAACTTTCTTGCTTTGTGTCCACTCAATTGTATTCAATCTGAACTGAATTGTGCTTGCTTATTGTATGTTACTTAAGGAAAATACACACTTTCAATACGTAAGAGTCCTCTAGCTCTGTCTGGATCTGTAACTGTTCTACCAGAATTCTTGGATTCTGGCATGTTTTTATAGACAGCTTATTCTCAGTAATGTTTTATTTTCAAATCAAGACCTGTCTAGAAGTGCTGTACATTTGTGTTTGTATTACATATTTTGTTGTTTTTGAGGATCCTTATCAACTTCTTGGAAGCAATTATTTTAATGTACTTTATTTCAAATTCTTATTACTAGAATGGTTCCAAAGATATATTTTTTCAATACTTATGCTATTTATACGCATTTCCCAACCCTTGCATATCAGGGATTTAACCTTTTGAAGCTGAAGCTCATAAAAAATTATGAATTAAGTGTGTACCTCAAAGAAAACAACACCATTCACAATACTTTGCCATTATAAAGATCAGTTTGTTTATGCTGTTTAAAGAAATAATCACATTTTACAGTGATTATCATATGAGACATAAATACAAAATGAAAACTTATTTATTGTTGAAGCAGGTGGGACATATAGTTACCACTGGGCTTTAAGGGATAAATTTCTTATTATCATATAAAAAGGTTTAAGGGGTAATATGTGGACTAGATTCAGCTGGCTTGGGACATGGCTCTTATGAGTATGGTAATGACCCTTTGGGTTTGTAATTTCATGTCCAGTTTAGAGACTGTCAGCTTCTCAAGTAGTCTTTATTATGGAGTTTTGTTAAAACCATGGAGCAGCTGTGCTATTTACAAAGATGGTCCAGTGAACTGATTGGCTGGCTGTGCAACCAGATAACTGCACAGACAGTTATACTCCAAAAACTACTCTTTCAGACTTTGACAGTTAAAATATCTTCCTGAGCTAAAATTTGGAGATTGTGTTAGAGATATCATCATTCTTTCATGTTGCATTTAACACGGTGAATTTTCTTGGTTGTTACATAATTAAAAATGTTTGTTTGTAAGTAATGAAACTTTATATTTTTTTATAATGACATTCATTAATTTTTTCTCCTTTGTCAGGTAAGTCATAAGTTCCAGGAATATGGACGAGGTGTTAGGTTCATTAAATTTTTTCATCATGGCAAGGACACACAATTTTGGGCTGGACATTATGGCAGTAAAATGAGTGGAGCATGTATAAAACTCATGATTCCTGCACCATACTCGAAAAGCTCCGTCAGTACAGAAGATGAAAGTGTTTCAGAAGATTCTTTATTATAACCTGCTGTATGAGTATTTCTCAGTTTGAAGCTGATGACCCTATGATGTTATATTTCAGTTGAAACTGGACTCTGCGAAGTTGTTATATTGTATGTTCTTAAAATGAACATTTCATAATATTTATGCCAGGTGACATTTTCTTTATTATAAGGGAAGAGTTCGTCATAGTCATTATTCAGTTTAGCAAAAAGCTCTACTTCTGAGAATCATCGTAGAGTGAACAAGTTAGGAAAGTTCTGGTTATGCATGAGATTGATAATTCTTTCTGCAAAATGCAACTGTCAATAAAATAAACACAATATGCAGGTTATACATGTATGACTATATTTTTTTGGGCTTTTATATTTACATATATACTACAACAAGTATAAGTGGGGGGGGGAAACATATTCTCCTTGAATCACATGCAATTATTCATTGTTTCCTGATATTTATTCACATTGGTGAGAAGTCAGAACTATACTGAATGCAATAAGCAGTTTTGTTCATGTTGGTCATCCAAGCAGCCTCTAAAGATATACACACCCACTTCTGTTCTTTCTTTACTCAAGGAAGTTAGTCATTGCTTTAGATTTGGTAACGATTTGTAACAACTCTCTCTGTTATAATAAACACATTCCTTGTGATTTTTACACACCTCATTTGCCTTGCTTATTTATTTATGCAAATATTATAATGAATAATTAAAAGTTATTTGTTCTTATCAATAAACATAGTCTTACTCATATTCTGTAAGTATTGTATAAAATAGCTCTCTGAAATATATTGAAGTCATGGGTAATGAAAGTAACAGGTATGGTAGGTAGATAATTTGTGTTGCACGTAGAAAATTACTCATCTTGAAAAATACAGTACAGTTTAATTACAAAGCCATGAAATGTAAATTCAAAGATGCAAGGAAGTCTTTGTTCTCTAATTAGATTTGCTGGCTTGTTGGTGTTACTATGATAAAAGTTGTCTGCTCAATACCAATGCAGAATGTTTTAATATGGTCCTTTGTAAACATGCCATGTTGCATGTAGAGGGATGGCCTTCAGTTATAGAAAATAGCTGTGATTGTATTGAATAAGTAGTGAGCTGATATTGAGTGGTCCACAGGCTTGGGGGGTTTTGCAGGAGGCTAATAATCCCTAGTGATAAATATGTAACCAGCAGGTTATAAAATAATACATGGTATAAGGCCTTTGAAATGACCTACGTAACAGAAAGTGGACATGAGATTTGGAGCCTCTATAGGTCAGATTTATTGATAGCTTGGTTGGTTGGTTATTATTTTCTCTTTTGCAATTTTGTTTTCTATGTGATAGTTTTAAAACTGTTTAGTACTTCAGATTTTTCCGTCATTCTTGAATGGCAATTTGCTATAAAGATGAATTTAATGGGGTACTGGGGTGAAATTAAATTTTTTATTATTTTTGTAAAGATTGGCGCCTTTGGCATCTTCCAAAAGGATTTGTACTAAATCATATTGAAAATGTGGTTTTAAAAAGGATTTTTAATGCTAGTGAGGGCGCGGCAAAATTAACATACACAATTTTCTGCAATTTGGCTCAAAGATTACTAGTGCCTTTTATTTTTAGTGATTTATTTTCAAATGTTGGTATGAATGCCACTCTGTGCCTTGTGCAATAATGACATCTGGAGGTGAAGATAACTATTTTAAACAAACGAAAGGGTGGTGTTTGTGTCCATGGTGTCCACGTGAGTAATGTTTTTATGTATATGAAAATATACAAGAAATAATAATCGTATATTACTTATACAATTCTTTGTGTTTTTCCCGTATTTCACTTAGTGTTGCTGTCGGATAGTGTGTGTATGTAGGCAGTATAGAAAGTGTAAATTTTTTTGGTTAGGTTAGAGAGGATTAGTTAGTTAATTTGAACAGTATTTTGCATTGCGTATAAGTGTCCTGCACTTATCGACATTAGTATTATTGTGCTGAACAATGGGGAAGTCAGCTGATTTAAATTCAAGAATAGTCAAAGTCAACATTCTACAAAATTATTATAATTATGAAGAACCAGTGACTGTGTTTGTTTTATCTGACACATATTCAAGTCCAGAATTTTGCATAACATTTTAATTTCGATATGAACAGAAATGTTATGTGCAATTCTTACATACTGTGACCATATCTCTTGCACTACTAATGATGCAAGCACATTTGAAAACAAAATATTAAGTAATGAAAGATGAACAGTGGAAAAGGAACATTTTAAATAAAACGTAGACATTGGAGATTATAATATAAATAATATTGCTGTAAGCTATAATGGAACATGCCACAAAAGAGGGCACACTAGTAGTTATGTTATAATTATATAGACAGTGGTGTCATTGACACACTCATAGTTTTTGATTTTGAAATGATTTTAAAATATTGCCATGCACATTCCCTGCCAAAGAGGAGGGTATACAAAGAAAGTCCAATCGCCCCTTCCCTGCATAATATGACTGACATATCAGAGTGTGAAGAAGAATATACTGGTATATCTGTTGCAGTGGAGGCTGGAGAGTGGCTTTGGAAGCAGTCATGAAAAACTAGGCTTTCCTGTGAAAAACACCAAAATCACAGAATGCAATGGTTCATATTCATTTTAATGACTGTTGTTTAGGCATAGTTATTTCCATTTACTAAAGACCACTGTTTTACCAAGGCATGTTTCAAATAAAGTGCATATCCGGCAATAGTTGAAGCTGTCTCACTGTTCTTTGGGGGTTCCTACAAGAAATAACTAGACAGAACACTATAAGGAAGCGTGTGAAAGTATCTCAGTGTACGTGGGGACCAAAGCGAAAATAAAACAAAGTGTGAAGCATTGTTTGGAAGCAGAAAAATTCTGAACATGGACAGAGTGGCCACAATACACAAAAAAGGGTCTTCTGAAGCAGATGGAAGGCATAACTTACGGTGCTGGTCAATGTTAATTGGTGAGTTGCCTTGATTTACTGGAAACATATTAAACTTGCTAATGCATGTTTGGATGTTTCTATTTAATGTGGGTTCTTAAAGGTTCTTGTTTTAAGTTTTGGCATGCAGATGGTAAGCCTTGAAGTTTGGTACACATTCCCCTGTTGCTCAGAATCTCAGTCATTTATTACATAATCCAAGACTATGGACATACTGTGCATCTGAGAGTAAGCTTGCTTAGTCTGAGGGTTAACTGGTAACCTCAAATTCTTCAGGGGATTGTGTGAGAAATAGACTTTATAAATACTATTTTAACATGATTCTGATTTCATAGTCATTTATAGTAATTCCAGGTAAATTCCTGAGTGATATCTGAAACTACCCATTCTTTCTCAAACGATTTGTCTTTCTGGCCCTCATAAACGTTGTCATTGATCGAGATTTCTGTCTTCTGGGTTGTTGCGCTGTGTAGTCAGTAGACGATTCATCGACCAGATTACACAGCGCAACAACCCAGAAGACAGTAATCTTCATACTCACCACCCTGATAATGGAGGCAGTATGACCTCTGAAACGTTGTTTAACATCGACCAGACTACACAGCGCAACAACCCAGAAGACAGAAATCTTCATCGCCCTGATGACAGAGGCAGTATGACCTCTGAAACGTTGGTGAACTTCAACCAGACTACACAGCGCAACAACCCAGAAGACAGGAATCTTCATACTCACCGCTGTGATAACCTCAAATCTTGTCATTGATGTTCGTTATTATCCTTAACCTGAGAACGAATGCACCATTTTGTGATTATTATGCATCAGAGCTTGTGTGAGAATTATGTTGGACTTCCATCTCTTGTTTACTCTTATTTATCTTCAATTTAAAGCACCGTGTTTTAGCTGCATGGACTCAAAAAGGAGGGTTTTCAAGAATAAATTCATTTATTTGTGAAACACTAATACCTAATGGATGCATTGCTATTAAGATATGCATTCGAATGAGTGAATGAATTTGTGCAGATTAACTTAACACTAAACCATTGCCGTTAGCCAATAAACGTGCGATACAGGGTTATTCTTGAGGGTGGATGAATTTCATTGCTTGAATAGAATTAATTGTTTCCGTTGATTGTATTAGAGAATGGGAGATTGTTCTGGCAGTGGAGAATACATGAAATTGTGATGATTTAAGAGTTCGACGAATTTCAGCTTACATCGAAATATTCGATATAAATCTCGAACTGAATTTTGTGTCATGACTGGAGCGGTCCGGCGCTGGGTGCGCGGCCGAGGTGCGCCGAATTGCTCGTTCATCGAGGCCGGCAGGTTGTATTGATCACTAAACGTGGTTAAAAGAGAGAGAGAGAGTGAGACAGATACAAAACTTGGCATTTCTATGGACAGAAAATAATAATGAAACTGAGAGCGAACTCATTGGATGTAGAAATCCAGAACTATAGAAATACAGTGGAAGGAAAATGAGACAGCTCTACAGCTTCCGCGAGGTAGAGGTCGTGTACGGAGAGCGAGAGAGAGAGAGGCGCTAGGCGTGTCATTGATGTTCGTTATTATCCTTAACCTGAGAACGAATGCACCATTTTGTGATTATTATGCATCAGAGCTTGTGTGAGAATTATGTTGGACTTCCATCTCTTGTTTACTCTTATTTATCTTCAATTTAAAGCACCGTGTTTTAGCTGCATGGACTCAAAAAGGAGGGTTTTCAAGAATAAATTCATTTATTTGTGAAACACTAATACCTAATGGATGCATTGCTATTAAGATATGCATTCGAATGAGTGAATGAATTTGTGCAGATTAACTTAACACTAAACCATTGCCGTTAGCCAATAAACGTGCGATACAGGGTTATTCTTGAGGGTGGATGAATTTCATTGCTTGAATAGAATTAATTGTTTCCGTTGATTGTATTAGAGAATGGGAGATTGTTCTGGCAGTGGAGAATACATGAAATTGTGATGATTTAAGAGTTCGACGAATTTCAGCTTACATCGAAATATTCGATATAAATCTCGAACTGAATTTTGTGTCATGACTGGAGCGGTCCGGCGCTGGGTGCGCGGCCGAGGTGCGCCGAATTGCTCGTTCATCGAGGCCGGCAGGTTGTATTGATCACTAAACGTGGTTAAAAGAGAGAGAGAGAGTGAGACAGATACAAAACTTGGCATTTCTATGGACAGAAAATAATAATGAAACTGAGAGCGAACTCATTGGATGTAGAAATCCAGAACTATAGAAATACAGTGGAAGGAAAATGAGACAGCTCTACAGCTTCCGCGAGGTAGAGGTCGTGTACGGAGAGCGAGAGAGAGAGAGGCGCTAGGCGTCGCGGCATAGTCACTAGTCGGTTGTTCGGACGGAGGCGAGAAGGCAGTAGGACGCACAAGTGTTTGTGATGGCTCAGAGTGAAGGCGCGCTCCGTTGAGGTATAGACATGCAAGAGGACTCCTCCACTGCTGACATGGCGGACTTTTCGCCCGTGGTGGAACTCAACGTGGGAGGCGTCTTCTATACCACGGCCCTCAGCACACTGACCCGGGAGCCAGATTCCATGCTGGCGCACATATTCTCCGGGAAGACTTCTCCTCCACCGCGAGACGCCAAGGGCAAATACTTCCTCGATCGCGATGGCGTACTTTTCCGCTACATCCTCGACTTTCTGCGAAATCAAGCCCTCGTGCTTCCCGAGAGTTTCCGGGAGAAGCAGCGTCTGAGGCAGGAAGCCCTGTACTTCCGCCTGCCGGCGATGGCTGAGGCCGTGGAGTCTTACACTGACAGCTCGGTGGTGCCTGCATCAGGTGGAGGCACCAAGAGCTCTGCTACAGGCTACATCACCGTCGGCTACCGCGGCAGTTTTGCTTTTGGCAGAGATGGGTTGGCCGATGTCAAGTTCCGGAAGCTGTCCCGCATCCTGGTCTGCGGCCGCGTGACCCTTTGCCGCGACGTCTTCGGGGAAACCCTGAACGAGAGCCGTGATCCTGACCACGGCCTCACTGACCGTTACACATCGCGTTTCTTCCTCAAACATTCCTTCATCGAGCAGGCGTTCGATATGCTCCAGGAACAGGGCTTCAAGCTGGCAGGCAGCTGCGGCTCCGGGACTGCCGGAGGATCCGCAACTGAGCAGCTCAAGCCCGGAGTCGACACGGAAGAGAACCGCTGGAACCACTACAACGAGTTTGTATTCGTTCGAGATTAATTTCAGGACGAAGCATCAACAGGAATTGAGGTCAATCACACCAAGGTAAACGATAGCTACAGAGAACATTCCTTCGTATCTTCTTAATGACTTCATGGAACCTATACCCGGTGTAGTAGTACAGTAGTATTCAGTAGAGACAGCCACCCCCGTCTCCCGTAATGTACAGATGGACTATGACTGAAAATGCAACCTTTCAACAATTATGCTACATACTTTATAAACTAAAGTCGGTTACATATTATAAGTAAGACTACACTCGTTACGCTTGGCATAGAGGTAATGAAGCCTTCTAGTAAAAGAACGCAGCTTTAGTACTCTTCATCTTCTGCTGAGTGAATGGCGTGGACCGGAAATCAGCAAGTGTACAGTGGAGTGGTGAGTGACTGTGGAAATTTCATCCTCTTTAATGTATCACGCTTGTTGGCTAACGGGCTTCACTTCTTAAGAAGTTATTGGCTCCCCTATACGTGTCAACTCTGGAAAGTCGCTTTTCATATTGCCATCCCGAACTTCCACATGTTCTAGTCTACGTAAACATGAATATATTTATTGCATATCCCAAGTCAGATGTTCCTCACAAATAATGACCAATAACGACGGTTTAATTTAGATAACGCCATTATAAATTTAATCGATGTTGTATATATCGTCTTATTTCGTGGTGTTTGTCTCAAATAAGATACATGAATATTAACGCTTTAAGTACGTCACCAAAGGTGATTAAAAATGTAAGTTAAGTATCTTTAAATGTGAGACAGGTGTAAGTCACAATCGCATCGCGTACAAATTCGCTAAATAATCGATAAATGGTAGACCTAGGAAATTGAACCTTTTCTTTATTTATGTCTTAGTGGCCGTTTGTTTCTCGGAAACAGGGTACACGGAGCATTCTGACAAAAGTCATTGGTCATTATTTTCGAACACGAAGCTTTCATCAGGATGTAATATTAATGTTATAGTTTGTATCCCTTGTAACACGTGTGGTGACTGCTGATTGTCAAGTACATCCCGTGTGCTCGTAGTGACTGGATTGGTTTCCCTTGTGACTCTTCGTAGATTTGTAACAGAAAATCTATTATGGAAATAGATGAACACGTGAACCTCATCAGGTTGCAATTATACTATCAGTCTGGTGTCATGGATCATTGTTACAGATACGTCTTGCCTAATCTTCAGAGTTGTTCTCCCAAACTGGAGTCATATTTTAAAAAAGACAGATGAGAGAGATTTTCATTCCAAAGTTTTGCATTCAAGTACCAGTATTTGTACTTTTATGACATATGTTTCCGATTTATTCGAAGTCATACTCTTGCTTTCTTATTTAAATTTAAAACTACCGCCAACTCAACCCAAACATTTTTCTTGTAATTTTTGAATCCAGTTCTTCGTGATCGGTTTACGTAAACTCAGTTTTTATTGAAGGAATCAGATTTATACTGTACAAAATGATGCAGTTGGTGTATCAAAAACTCTTCGACCTGATGTATATTTATTTTATTAAATTGTCTGTTTTTTATCTTCATCTTGTCATTCATTGCCAGCACATAGTTTTATTAAGCTTTCTAGAATAACGTACTCTAAAGCTGTGGATCTAGTATACAGTCTATATGACGAAATCAGAAGCGAAATTCCAGAGAAACGCCGTACACTCGTCGTTATTCGGCAAAGTTCAGGTTGCAACTTTTTGAGGTTCACAAGACTCACTCACGCTCGATCCGGAGATAAAGCTGGTTACGTCCTATGTAAAGTCCACAATATTCCATCATGATAATTTTACACTGTGATTATATATACACAATTGTTTTGATGGTGGCGGAATATGTATACTAGTAATTTAAATAAGATACAGGGGAAAATTGAGCTGCTAAGTACCGTAAAGTAAATACAGAACACCCCAATAAAATTTAACATATTTTGGCAATTTATTAATGTGATAGTCTTTCTTTGTAATTTCAGTACAGTAAGGAACGTGTACTGAGAAATAATATTTGTATATAAGTGTGAACGAGCAAATAAAAAAGGTTCTAACACTTCGGTAAATATTATTAATTTGCACAATTCGACCAGTGGACGAAGTGTTGTTTAGTGTCATGTAATGCGTATGATAATAATAGTAATTTGAAGCAGGATACAGTTTTAAATTACCAGTTCCTTATACAGTAATACTACTTTGCCTGTCCTTCAGTAATAAATATTTGCAACTATTTTCAGTTGCAACATTAAGAAACTCATGAGTACAAAACAAAAGAAGTCTCAAAAGCATGCACATTTTAATTTGCTATTTACAAGATAATGAATCTTCTATTGAGAATAAGTAGGAAAATGTTTGCTGTATTAGAAAAATAAGTTACAGAAAAATAGACGAAATTGTGTCATAAGCTTTGGCGCTACCACAGTAATTTATTCTCTAATAAATGACCCAAAACAATGTAACTCCGTTTAAATACGATGTATGAGGGGAGAACATTTTCACCAAAGAAAATTATTAAGAAGAGTAGTATATGCTCAAGAGAAAATGTTACATATTGTACGCCAAAAAAATGACCATAGGGAAACATGTTTTTCTTCATAAACATTAATTTTCATTTATGGTTTAATCATAGATATTCAATTTGTATAGTTCGGATAACACTCAATGAAGTTTAATTCTGAAATTGTAAAACCAAATTTGAGATATGTGGACCAAATGTGCTGAATTAAAATGATTATGAAACTGTAATCTGTTTGTTATTTCACCGATTATCCTCAGGAAACTACGTGACTGTACAAGGGAGTTCGATGGACAAGGAATCTAACTGCGAGTTGACCACGTTTTACAGCTTTTTTATAATGTTTACATATTGCCAGTACTGTGCACTCAAAAGAATATATGTTTTTTTTTAGTTTAAATGTACGACGCACATCCAGTGTGTATTAAATAGGGCTGCTGCAAGATTTGAACCTCTTTATGTTCTTAGTTTGAGACCCATTTTTAGTGCATACAATTCAAAACCATTGGCAAGGAAATACGTTTGTATTTTTCAAGGCTCGTTAGTCAACGTTATGATATGATTTGAAGGGAAACATTCTGTACTGGAGAATTTCAGAAATATCTTAACAGAAATTTGAATTCAAGTAACGGAAACAGTGATCAGTGTAGTTTTGTCGCTGGATCTTTCGTACATGAAAAGTTTAACCACACACACGCGATTTTCTGTCACCAGTGTGGGCTTCCATACATTTCAGTTGAATATTCATAACTCTTTAATTTGCTGCTACGAGAGCAGGGGACCATATATGAGCTTAATTATTTCATTCTTGTAACATTTGTGGCTTGTTATTTTTCACTGTGCCTATTTAATGTCAGATTCTTATAATGCATCGAAGTTACTCTAAAACAAGAAGATGGCTGTCTTCTGGGATGTTGTACCATATAATATGGCAGAAGTTTACAGACGTTTAGAGGTGCATTTTGCCACCATTTTCAGGGCCTATACCCTGATGATGGAGGCTTTAAGTACTCCGAAACGTCGGTAAACTTCAATCAGTCTACGCATCGCAACATTCCAGAAGACATCTTCATACTCGCCGCCATGAGAACCTAAAATCTCTCTCTAAATCATTAGAAAAATAAGTTACAGAAAAATAGACGAAATTGTGTCATAAGCTTTGGCGCTACCACAGTAATTTATTCTCTAATAAATGACCCAAAACAATGTAACTCCGTTTAAATACGATGTATGAGGGGAGAACATTTTCACCAAAGAAAATTATTAAGAAGAGTAGTATATGCTCAAGAGAAAATGTTACATATTGTACGCCAAAAAAATGACCATAGGGAAACATGTTTTTCTTCATAAACATTAATTTTCATTTATGGTTTAATCATAGATATTCAATTTGTATAGTTCGGATAACACTCAATGAAGTTTAATTCTGAAATTGTAAAACCAAATTTGAGATATGTGGACCAAATGTGCTGAATTAAAATGATTATGAAACTGTAATCTGTTTGTTATTTCACCGATTATCCTCAGGAAACTACGTGACTGTACAAGGGAGTTCGATGGACAAGGAATCTAACTGCGAGTTGACCACGTTTTACAGCTTTTTTATAATGTTTACATATTGCCAGTACTGTGCACTCAAAAGAATATATGTTTTTTTTTAGTTTAAATGTACGACGCACATCCAGTGTGTATTAAATAGGGCTGCTGCAAGATTTGAACCTCTTTATGTTCTTAGTTTGAGACCCATTTTTAGTGCATACAATTCAAAACCATTGGCAAGGAAATACGTTTGTATTTTTCAAGGCTCGTTAGTCAACGTTATGATATGATTTGAAGGGAAACATTCTGTACTGGAGAATTTCAGAAATATCTTAACAGAAATTTGAATTCAAGTAACGGAAACAGTGATCAGTGTAGTTTTGTCGCTGGATCTTTCGTACATGAAAAGTTTAACCACACACACGCGATTTTCTGTCACCAGTGTGGGCTTCCATACATTTCAGTTGAATATTCATAACTCTTTAATTTGCTGCTACGAGAGCAGGGGACCATATATGAGCTTAATTATTTCATTCTTGTAACATTTGTGGCTTGTTATTTTTCACTGTGCCTATTTAATGTCAGATTCTTATAATGCATCGAAGTTACTCTAAAACAAGAAGATGGCTGTCTTCTGGGATGTTGTACCATATAATATGGCAGAAGTTTACAGACGTTTAGAGGTGCATTTTGCCACCATTTTCAGGGCCTATACCCTGATGATGGAGGCTTTAAGTACTCCGAAACGTCGGTAAACTTCAATCAGTCTACGCATCGCAACATTCCAGAAGACATCTTCATACTCGCCGCCGTGACAGCTTGAGATCGCACCTATCATTCTATCATTATATTTCCGTAAGATACATTTTAATATTATCCTAGGGAACATTTATCGAAAAATCAAAGTATCCGAACTTTCGGCTTCAGAATAGTGACATGCGTGTGAAATAATCATGGTATATTATAAAAATAATCAAAATAGCTGAAGTAGTTTCGGTTTGCACAACATTTACAGTATGGCTGTACATTTATTTTCTTTCGTCTGTTTGCGTTAAGACCGGCGTCCGTCGAGGCATGCAAGCAAGAAACTGATTAAAACAGCCAGTAACATTTTTCACACAAAATATAGAAGAGCTTCCGGAGCGTTGACTTTTAATTTCGTGTCATCCCATATATAGAAATGTTTTACATTCGCGGCTTATTTGAAGATATAGCAAAAAGTATATGAAGTAAGGGTAGTATCAATAATAATCTTTATAAATTTACGTCGGTAGATAATTTGTTCATTAGTTTGTGGTTTATTTGGGGACGCTGTCTTTAGCTTAGACTATATAGCGTCGAATGGTAGGATTATTAATGAATAATGAATTGGTAAAACGTAGAAAACATCGTTTGTGGCCTGGTTTAAGTAATATCTTGGCGCTTTCCCGAAGGGACTGAGGAAAACCACGAACAATCCAGGTTAGTTGATTCTGGGCCAATATATGAACCGAGTACCTCCTTAGTTATGTCATAAGTAAAAGAATAAATATTACGTTGAAGAAATAACGACGAGCTTAACAGACAATTACCCAAATTAAAGCTGTCATGGTTTATAAGACGGTCCATAACACGTGTTTTTGTGGGTTTAAATCAAGATACACGTACGAATGTGATGCATCAATCCGATTTTGTAGAAAATGTTTGCACTGGTAGGAAACACACACGTAAATACGTACTGAGATTTGCAACTTATCCGTAAACGTCGTAGAGTGCATATTTTACGAGGACCGAAATTTGCGTGACATCTTAAAATATCTGGTAACTGGTGCAGATCAGAGGAATTTGTATACGTTGTTATAGGCCTGCATCCGTTGCTTTTAAATGCAGGAAACAATTTTTGTATCCAAGAGATGTGTGGACTTTCAGCATACATAGACGATGTGAGGAATTTATGTAAAATTGTAGTAGGAAAATATGAAGGGAAGATGCACCAGGGAAAATTAGGCTTAGTTAAGAGTTTCTCAAAATGGATCTTGAAAAGAATGGATGTGAATATGGACACTGGATTGTATTGGTCCAGGATTTCGTATTTCAGTGGTGGAATTTTATTATGTGGTAATCGATATTCGGGTTCGTTAAAAGCCGGGAATTAACTACTTCTCCCACTTGAGTGACTGTCTGTCAGTTTTACAAGAATGGCTCTGTACCATGAAGTTTGTTTCTGACAAGCCTTTGTGAATCGAGAAGGGTGTTGCACATTAAACACCCTTTTAATTGCAGAAATAAGAGTGGAATTGATACACATTCGTTGTGACGTGGAAAAGGCGCTTTTTTACGTCAGCTTCCCAGACATTCACGGTCCAATAAAATTGAGGCATTTCATTAATAAGAGCATTGGAATTATTTACAAATTCTTGGGTTTATAACAAACATATAGCCTACGAGTTCTTATGAGCTCATAATTTGTACGCTTCGCCATTTAATGTGAGCAAGAGAAAGAGAATTAATGGAGTGGGACATAAAACACGCAGAGGAGATGAGATATGCTACTAATTTTAGTCGGGAAATATAATGAGGTTGTGAACTGGATTCGACATTCTAAGGATAAGGATTAGTGGTGGGTTGCCGTGAACACTGTAAATAAGTCTTCAAATTCCCTGAAAGGCGAGGAAATTTCCTGTCACTTAAGCTATTATTATTTTCTCAATAAGGACTGTGCTGCACGGTGTTATTTATGTGACATTTTGTAATATATTTGAACAGCGATCCTGCGGAAAGTGTTTTTGAATTTGTGAACTGGATTAAGCTAGGTGATGCCAATACTCCTGCCGTGTTACGTGCGAAACATAGGGGTTGTGGGATCGTGTCAGATTTGGGTATGATGCTTGTTTATGTCTGTGTTGTCCTCTGAAGTTAGAAGGAAGTCTTAGCGCCAGTCAAAATAGAAAATGGGAAACGTACTATGTGTACGAGAGATCTAAAGGCTGGCACCTGGCTTTGGTGCCAAGAAAAAGAAATATGGTGGAAATGGACGTACTAGATCAAAGACCAAAAGAGGCTAAATAAAGGTACATAATACTATATTTTCGTCAATGCATTTCGCTGTGTAAACAGGATGTTTGATCATATCCATTCATCTTATCCATGAGAGTGTATTCCATTTATTTTGTAAGGGAACTTTATTTATTTATTTATATATTTCGTGGTTTTTTTCATTCTATGTATCAGCTTTTTATACTTCTTTCTGCAAAGACGTGCTTTCACCTGTGAATGTGCTTTTCTTTGTTGGTTAATTCAATGACGTTTTATCAACTCATAAATTATGTATCGTCGAACGAAGGGAAAATTAATTTTTAAGTACCTGAAAGACGGCGGTAGTGGACTATTTTAAGGTTGGCTTATTACTTATTTGAAGATGCTGCCAGGTATTATACAAGCATTGAATATCCATATGTTTGAAGTTCAGGTTTGACAAATTGTTATTACATTTTAAATATTAACCGTTTCTTGATGGATGTACGAGACAAGGTCATCATTAAGGAAACAGTGTCCTTTTGAAAATTTAATGCTTTACATTAATGGCGGGAAAATTTGTCTGAAGTACAAAGAAAACGTAGGCTGCTTTTGGATTTTGTCCGTCGTCTAGGTGTTATCAAAACCGCAACGTTTCGGAAGTTGGTTCTACTTCCGTCATCAGGTGAAACGAGGA